GTCACAGGAGTCTGGGAGGAAAACACAGATCCCACTCTCGGGGCAAAGGAGGGACAAGGGCCAGGAAAACGGGAGTTCTGCCAAGGCTGGAGTTGTGGAATCAAGACCTGCCACACCAGCCACAACAGCCAGCAGGGAGTGGCTTCAGGCCTAGACCTCAGCCACAAGGGATACTCCAGGCAGAAAAGCCACATCTGACAGGTAGCTGGCAGCAGGAGCTATACAAATCGGTTTGGGGGAGGGCAAGGGACTATGGCCGCAGAGACCCAGGGTACAAGTGGAGGTGAAAGAGAAAATGAGATGGGGCAAGGGGTTTAAAGCCCAACTGGAAAGGCAGGTGGCCCAGGTGGTACAGTCACTGAAACACTGCAGCAAAGAGTCAGTGGAAAGCTGCTGGCACTGAGGAAGACGCAAAACCGCTGCTGGGGACCCAGGACCCAGCCTGGAGGCTGGCTGGTTGCGGAGCACTCTATAATGACAGGAGCCACCTCTCAACAATTTTGGCCAGGAAGTAACCTTCCTCCCTGCCCCCACTTCCCTCATGCCAATGCAGCCCTGCACAGCTACTATCACAGTGAACAATGGCTAAAAGAAACTACAGGAGTGACAGAGACAAAGCCCAGGGCAGTATAAACTGTATTTTAAATTCTCTGTAAAGCACTCCTCTCCACAAGGGACTTAGATTGGAAAGAAACTGAAAATGAAAGCCAGCTCTCTCTAACAAGCAAATCTCATCCTTATCATTGCCTGGCCCAAAACTTTGGCTAGGAAGCCCCAGGACAAAATCACAACAGCTCGGCCTGCAGCAGCTGGACCCTGTCCGGCCTTGTTTTCCAGCTGCACCTCAGTTCTACTCTCACACCATCCACCTGTCTTCATCCCCGCCCCAGCTTTGCCTCTGCTGGTGCCCCTACCTGGAACCCTTGGCCCCACCTCGCACTGCTCCTGCCTTGCCCTGCAGCTGATGCCAGAAACTCAACAGGGCAGGGGGTGGGGCGGCAGATTCCTACTCAACAGTCAGGTCTCGGGTTCAGTGCTACTTCTTCCTATTTTTCCCTGATCAGATGCAAAAATACTCAATGCTAGTGAGGCAGCACAATGCACCCTTGTATTCTCTGGGTGGAGAGTAAACTGGTGCCATCTTTTTGGAGGACAATCTGGCAACAGCTCTCAAAAGGTAAAAATGCACTGTATGGCTTGCCATCTGTCACTTCTGAGGGAGGCCCAGCAGCTGTGCTTCCTTCCTATGCCTGTGGAACTCATGCCTATGCCTGCCCCTGCCTCTAACCCCTGCCCCTGAGTGGGAGGCTGAGCTCACCAACCAGAAGCACTCAGCCTTTCCAGGAATGAGAGCTCTTGGGCAGTGGGAGACCAGAGACACGAAAGCAACCTAACCCAGAAATTTCACTAGTAGGAATGTATCTCAGTGTATTTCTACAAATAGATGAAGACATATTTGCCATAAAGCTCTGAGAACCAAAATACCCATCACTAGGAGATTCAGTCAGTAAAGCATGCTACAAACATATAAAACAATTACATGTACCTGCCATTACATAAATAATTTGGATCTACATACACTGATATAAAAACCTCTTCAAAACATACTCATCCTAAGGGAGGAACCTGCCATGTAGCATGACTTCATTTATGTGTTTTTAAGAGGGACAGACATGTATGAAGAGATGAGAGGCCAGGCATGGTGGTATATGCCTATAATCCCAGCACTAGGGAGGCTGAGACAGGAGGATTGCATGAGTTTGAGGTCAACCTGGGCTAAATAGTGCAAGCTGGCCTACATGGCAAGACGCTGTCTCAAAAGAGGAGAGAAAGGAGAGGGAGGGGAGGGGAGGACAGAAGAAAAATGGAAAAAAGGGAAGGGAAATCGCAAAGACAGGGAAATAGAAAGTTTTATTATAAAACATTTTTGGGCAGGAGACACAAACCACCTGCAACAGAGGTGACTGTAGAGAAAGGATATGAGACAGGCTATTTTTTTATACAGTACTTCATCCCTCCAATATTTTGTCTTGCTCATAAAGTACAGTGGTACCTCAGCTCACAAACTTATTTTATGACTCGGGGAAGATGGCTGCAGTTGTGTTTGTCACCCAATATGGAGTTTGTGAATGGAAGTAAAATTCTGTCAAATGCTTTTGTTTGGGAACCAGTCTGTGAACAAAAGCATTTGGGAACTGAGGTATTACTGTCATTTCGATGTTTAAAAATGCTCTGACTGGGGGTGTGGCTCAGTATAGCACTTGTCTAGTACACACAAGGCCCTGGGTTAGATCTCCAGCATCAAAAAGAGAAAGAAAATGTTTTAAGTCATCTGCTCAGAAAAGATGTCCCCAGCATCTACTGTGCACACACTCCTCCCTATGATTCTTTCCTACTACTGTTCTCCTCCAGGGTACTTATCCCAGTGCATTCTTTTAGATTTATGTGCAACTAATGACTGGCTGCCCCGTGGGGCCACAGGCTCTCAGGCGGCATCATGCTGAATGCTGTCTTCGCAGCGCCTAGCACAGTGCCCAGCACTAGCGGTGGTAAATAAGTATCTGCTAAGTGAATGAAAAGATCTTACTCCCCTCTTTAAGACTGCTCAAGTGAAGTGAAGCCATTCCTGACTTCTTCCAGTTAAAAGTGCCCTTTTCTGCCAGGAGGGGGACCCCTGGCCTGTATACATCACGTCCTCGTGGGCATCTACCTCTGCCTCCCTGTTAGACTATGACTGTCACGAAGACAAAGACCCTCACATTAATCCGCATTGCCCAATACAGGGCGCCTCCTTGCAGAAACCACTTGCTAAACCGTCGAAGAATGACCAACAAACATACAAAATCTCAAACAACTACCAGCATATTAAATCAGCTGTCACTGCTGTGTTTCACTCTTCTTAATCCTGTCTTTTAGGAGAGCAAGAGTTGACTATGTGAAGTGGTTCTAAACAGAAGTGCTCTATAAACTCAGAGCTGTGGACTCATCACCTGCAACTCAAACTGGACTTGGAGAGGCACAAGGTGACCATGCACCGGTACCAGGCAAAGAGGGCTGCAGAGGTGAAACCAGCAGACACATCTGTGTCTACTCACTCTGAACGACTTTTCCTAAATTCATTGTAAGCTCATCAGACAAATTACTACAGTTCAAAAGCAAAAGAAACCCAATTTTCCTATTTTAAAAATGAAACTGCTTTGTATCAATGTCAGATTTCCTGAAACTGATGACTTTACTGAGATGACAGAAGAGAACATCCTGAAAGATTCAGATGTGGGAGTTATGATGTCTGTTATTCTCAAATGGTTTCATAAAAAAAATAATGCCACATACCATATGTGTAAAAGATTATGTAGTAAAATGTTAACAACTGATAAATCCTAGTAGAGGGAATAAAAAATTCATTGTGTTACTTTCTGCAAGTTTGAAATTTTTCAAATAAAAAAATAGAATTACTTAATAGGTTATTCTTTTACTACCACTTAAAGGTATTAAATGGGGACAAATAAAAACAATGGCAATAAATGGAAACTTTAATGTAAATAAAAAAACATTTGAATAAAGCAATTCAGAGAAATTTCTAAATTACCTGAAATATCTCCACTTTAAAATAATTACAAAGACCCATCCATATGGTATGTAAGAGTAAATCACTCTCCCTGACAAATAGGTAACATCTGTTGTAGAACCCTTAGAAGAAGCTAGGATAACACAATGGTATAGAAAGTCTCAAACTGGCAATTTCCAACTATTCAAGGAAGCAATCCTCCCAGCTTGAGGCAAGACACCAAGACAAAAACATAAGTGGTGAACAACAGCTAGAAAAACACCAGCTACACATGACTGTTGTATTTCTCAAACCATACAATTTGATTCATTAGAATCTGAAAATCCTAATTCCTCTAAATTTTCACTTTCTTTTTAAGCCAGGCACAGTGGTGTACACCTGTAATCCCAATTATATGGGAGGCTGAAGCAAGAAGATTTCAAGTTCAAGGTCACCCCAAACAATATGGCAAAACTGCATCTTAAAAAAAAATTTTTTTTTGTCATGAAAAAAACTCTCCTTGCCAGGTGTGGCTGCACACACCTGTAATCCTAGCACTTGGCAAACTGAGGCAGGATTGCCAGAGTTTAAGGCCAGCCTGAGATATGTAGTGAGTTGGAGGCCAGCCCAAACTACGCAGTGAAAGCCTGTCTGAAAAAACAAAAACAAATCCCCCAAAATTTCTCAAATAGAAATTAGTGCTAAAATACAAGCATAAAAAGCTGACGGTGAAAAAAGGTTTACTGCTGTTTATAGGCGAGGTACTACAGCAGATGGTTTATATGTTTCTAACCATTACAACCTGGTGTGTAGGTATTGTTGACAACATTTCACAGGTGAGGAAATTAAGGTTCAGGAAAGAACAAACAACCACTATGCCTCAGAGATTAAAAGGTAAAGTGGGGGACCCAGTCACTCTAGTTTAAAAAAACCTCTTTGCATGTACCAGGCACCGTCAGAGGTGCAGCATCCACTCCACCTTTCCAATTTAACTCTGCTATCTGCCACCTGCCTTCCTTCTGCCGACCACTCCCAAGTCCCCTAATCCTGTTTGAATTTTTTAACTTTTTGTTTCAGATCACTGTACATTCATGCACTGATATAAACAGAGTTCCCCTTGACCCAGTTTCCCCCAAAGGTATATCTCACATAACTTGAGCACCTAATTTCTTTTCTTGTTCCTAGTAGTTATCACTTTCTAACACTAATACTATTAATATACTTTTAAGTGTTTATTGTTTACTCCCACTGAAGACTCCTCACAGGCAGGAATCTTTATCTAGTTTTTTGTTCACTGCTATATCCCAAGTGTAATCCACAGTGGGCACCCATTAAATATTTGATGAGTGAATTAAAGAATTGTAACGCACTGCCTCCTTCAACAGGAAGACCAACCCTCAGGGGATCAACTTGGTAAAAAGGATTCTGAAACACAGGGAAACATTGCACTCACCCATGGTGACATAAGGCAACTTATCAGTTGATCCATGAGGATAGATGCTGTAGAGGTGAGGTCCGGTAACATCTATGCCCCCTAAAACTAGGGCCGCGCCAATGTAACCTTGATACCTGGTGATCAGAATGTGCATAAGAAAACAACATGAATCAACACAGCATCACAGCAAAAGCTGCACGAGAAGTCAAACAGCAAAAGGCTTCACTGTTTCATTAAAGGTTTATTATTTTACTGGGAATTGAAGGGCGAAGGCAAGTAACATTGAGAGGAACATCTATAATGAGTCACCATAAACGGTAAACTGTGAGGTGCGCCACATACCTCATTTTAGCTCAGCTCACAGCCTCCTTTCAGAGAGGGCACTATCATTCCCACTAGGGAAAGAGAACTATGCCAGAGACATTAAGTAGTTGCTGTGTCTCAGAGCCAAGGCTGGATTACTCCAAAAATCATCGGCACTTTGCTCATCACACCTCTGCCCAGCGGATAAGCGACCTCCAGCGTTAACAATGAGGAGTTGCTAAGCTCAGCCACTCAGATGGTCTAAGAAACCACCTCATCACAGCCTTGACAGAAAAGAGGCTTCCATCTAAACACCTTTTCCTTTGAGTACTTCCACTAAATTATAATCACAGAGCTTATATTGAGTAAAGGTGAAACATTTCATCATTCAGGACATGAATAATTCTATGATAATAAAACAACTGCCACCATCCACCAGATAAAGCTCCACCTCTTCAGGAATATTGCCACAATGCATCTTTCACCCCACCTCAAGGTAAATGCACATGTTCCTTTGGACTTTCTTCCTGGTTGGTTTACCATTTCTATACATATTCCTTTCATGCATTTGATGCTGTTTTTTACCACTGGAATTGCTGTGCTAGATAAACACAATGGATTTAAAATTCTCCACTGTGAACCTTATAGCTCTTTAAGAAAAAAAAACAGGGCTGGGGATTTAGCTCAGTGGTTCCCCACCCCCTGCCTTGCAAGCACAAGGACCTGAGTTCGATCCCTGGTACCAAAAAAAGAAAAGAAAAATGAAACCGATATATGCTGAACTTGCCATGTACCATATCCATAAAAACTGAAACCAATAAACACAAGACCAAAATCATAATTTTTAGGCTGTCTGAGAAATAGGTATACATCAAGGAGCTCTCTTAGTAAACAGAAGTCAAGTCCCAGAGCTCCCTGGTCCCTTGATTACCAAACTGTTATTTCAAAAAGAATTTTTCATTTTTAAGTGAAAAAACTCAACAACAGAGAAGGATTTTAGAAGCAACCTAAAGAGGGAACAAAGGTTCAGATAGAGGAAATTTATAATTGGTCTAAAGCCACATGAGGGTGAAGACTGGAGCCTAGGACCCTGAGGCAGAAGTCAAGAGCATGCGGACAGACCACCCCCAACCAATCCAGCACCTCTCCCACTGTCTACTGAGTAGGGTGTTTAACAAAGTCAGTAATCAGCCAGTTCCTTTCCACACTAAAATATAACCTGCTCGATGCCTTTAAAAGAATCTTAACAGGGCCAGGGGAGTAGCTCAGTGTTGCTGCCACCTGCCTCATAAGCACAAGGTCCTGAGTTCAATCCCTGGAACCAAAAAAAAAAAAAAAAAAAAAAA